ATTCGATATAGGATTCATATAGCTAGAAAGGCTTGTAGAGGACGTTAGAAAGACAGGAAAGCTAGGGGTAGAATTCTAACCCCAGAACCCCCAGTTTGACCCTACTCACGTGCACCTTTTGAGTGCCTACTTAAGTAGTTCACCTGAAGGTTCTATACTATCTGCCGTACCTGCACCCCAACTAGAGGGGTACTCATTTAAACCATCTGGTTCTAACTACTTCTATCAGCCCTCTAACCCAATAGGTTTCCTCACTATTCATACGCTAGATTTTGGTATCACCCAATGTGGATTTTGCACTCTACCTTAAGACACTTAACTATCCTCGAGGTAAACCTAACACAGCGGTACATGTCTCACACATGTATTCACGTGCTTGTTCTTATAACTTCTTCCTAATTAGTACATATTGATCTGCCGTTCTTTATTCGTATCTCATACCATCTTTTGGGGTGCTGCCATTCTACAGACGTTTCTCAAGCACCAACCTTCCTAATTAGGCGCCCATTACGTACTCCTTTCCTTGTTTTGATTTCTATCAACCCAGTACCCCACATTTAGACCGTCTTCTTACCCGGATTCTTTACTGGTCCCTCCCTTACTTCCAGCTAGCAACCCTGAAGGGTTGGTCTGCCCAGGCTTTAGGTGCCTGAAGGATGCCCTCCCCTTGGTTCATACTTTCAGAGCATATGTCCTTTTTCTCCAGTGCAACAACCTGGCAGTTCGGCTGGTGTGTCCTCTGCCATTTGGACCTGATCGCTCGGTTCTCTGATTTTGGGCCCCGGTTCAAATTTAGCCCTCCTGTGGTACCGTCATAGATCACTACTACCTCCAAACTCGGGACTTGCCAAATAGGTTTTCAGTTATTCCGGTTCCTCAGATTTATTGCGCCAAAGCTCCTATAACTAGATGGTATGACCGATATTACAGATTTCTAGATCCAACTGATAATCGACAACCATAAACCATAACACAGGCTATTTTTCAAAATTTGTCGTCCGTGGGATTTGAACTCTAGACCTGCCACTTGAAGAGGGTAACGACTAGACCACTACACTAAGTCGCCACACCTACTAGATTTTTTTTAATAAAATTTTGAGTAATTTTAATTTAAAAAAATATTTAAAATTGTCTTATATACAACACTGCCCTTGTATACAAAATTTTGGAGAAGAGATAACTTTGTTAAAGTGAGGCTATTTGTTGATAAAATCAACTATAGGACAAATGAGTTTTTTTTAAGTCACTCCTTTGAAAATTTGAAGTATCTGATCTTAAAAACTACTTTCTATATTCCTGCTAGATTTTTTGGTTTTTCTCTTGAAACTTTTTTAAAAAGCAGAAAATTCAATGTATCTTCTACAAAAGATTGATATTGCTTATATATCTAATTTGGAAATAGCCTATTACAAGAAAGTCACATCCTACATATCTAAACTTATAATGAATAATATATGAAAATTTATTGGGTAAACAAAAATTTCAAATATTCTCTATCTTAAAATTAAATATATTATAATATGGAGATAAAGTAAAAGTAGAAATTTCTTTATGAGGTATTATATAATTTGCACTGATGCAAATAGTGTTTTCATGTTTTTTGTTTTTTCTTTGCCTTTCTTTTCTTTTTATCTTTTTATTTTTCTTTTGTTTGTATTAGATTTAAGTTTTGTAATTTCCTTACTTTTTTTTACTATCCTTTTCTAGATAAGTTATTTTTTATACTTGTCATTTTTGAGACAAGAATTGTGGAATCCTTTTGCTCTAATATTTAGAAAAAGAGAGATTTAAAAAAGATGACAGTTATAATAGGCTGTAGATACTATTCAGTGATTTACTTATTTACTTCAATTGTAAGAAAGATGAGTATTGAAATAAACTCTACTATAGCAAGTTGAACATAGGTAATTTAGATTTTTGTTACAAAGAGTTGGGTTAGTTAATACAGTTATATCTCTTTATAATCACCTTCTATATAATCACATTATATAAAAATCTTTTTATAATCACATCTATATTTAAGTTCAATTATTATTTAATATATAATAAAACATCTTTATATAAGCACACCTTTTTACAAAATCATTTTTTTAAAATGTTTCTATATAATTATAAAGAGGTATGACTATACTTGTAAATTGGAAAATCTAAATATTTGCTTTGATAAATATATAAGTGTAGTCTTTATATATTCGCCCAATAAAGTATTGGCATGATTGCTGTATTTTCGCATAATAACACCTACCTGCACGTTATTGAGTCTATGTGTATTATTTCGAGTATATGCATGTGCGTTAATTTGAGCCAAAAGTTAATTTTTGCCAAGCCTAATTTCCAAAATAACACGTTTGCGCATTATTTTAGGACAACAATGAGGTTAATTTTTCTAAATAAGGCTTATGCATATTACATATTATATAAATAATACCACCGTAATTTCAATTTTATAAACTCAATAAACTTTGGTTTTCTCTTGGCATTATTTTATAAACGAAAAGTTTGAAATACTAATAAGCGAAGCTTATATTAAGGTATATAGAAGTTGGGTTTAAATATAGTAAGCTGTCAATTTTTACTATTATATTTTAAAGTAAAGCTATTTGCTTTATATAGATTTTTTTTATTTTGCTAAATTTTATATTTATAAAATATTTATATACCGGTATACATATTACTTATTGTTATTTCATAGTCATAATGTTATTTAAATTTTTAACATTAAATACATAAGTTCAAACTTACTATTACATTTGTTACAATAAAGAAATTTAAAGTAACAAAATATCAGTAGGACTTTCTTAAATAAATGTGATTCAAGAATAGTCTGACTTTAATTAATTTACATAGTTTAATAACTGGGTTATTTGGTTCTTACCAAAATTTCTCCTTTCTAATTTTACTATATTCTTTTTTTTTACTATCTTATCACATTTGAGTTCTATTTATTAGTTTCTTAGATTCTTACCACATTGAACATGATTTATTTTAAATAAGAGAATCATACTGGCATTTGTACTTTGTATTCAAAAATTAATTTGCTTGGGTTCATGATTATAAAGTATGATGGTGATTTTAATTTTTTTTTTTTAAAAAAAAAAGCTGTTATTAGTCAGGTACCTAGGCACGTACATACCTATCATTTTTACTTTTTAGAGTATTGTATCAGGACCTCGAAATATACATAGATAGATTAGATTTTAGTTTGCTTATTTTTGATCCTTTTTGTGCAGATTATTTCTATTTATAGTAATTAGTTTGCTTATTTTTGACTTTTTTCTACAGATCTTTCTAAATTTAGTAATTTTTGTAAAACTTTATCCCTCTATATATATTTCGGAAACCTATTGTACCTACCGCTACTTAATTTATTCAATATTACTGCCAATCCTTTTACAATATACGTACAGTACATTTCTTTAAAAAGTGGCATATATGGTATCTTTAAAAGAGCTATTTTGAAAATTTTAGCCTCAAATAGTTAACAATAACGATGAAATTTTTAAAATCTTAATTTCTGGTTTTTTTTTGCTTGGTGAATTCACACACTTTACAGGTTTGCATTGTTCATTTTAAATCATATTTAACTCACTTATTTTCAAGACCTTTGGTAATTTTTCTAAAAAATGTTTTAACTTTATAGAAAGATATATCAAAATTATTATTTCAAATAATACTATACTTTATTCTTGTAATAATTCACTTACAAAGCTGCCTTCAAGATGTTAGTACTATTACTGATAATACACCTTTACTAAAAAAAAATGTGACAATTTACTATATTATGAACAGATACAAAAGACTATTTAAGGACTTAACTAAGTCATCAAAAATCAAACTAAATTATACATTAGCCTTGAAAAATTGTGAAGTAGTATATATCTTTTTTTTTTTGTATCACGAATGCTTATAGTATAAAATATGATGTTATCTTTATTAGTTTTGGTACACAAGTTGTTTACACTATTTGCAAGCAGACATGAGCACAAACCAAAGTTTTACCATCGCATTCAAGCTTGAAATAATTTCATATACAAAAACTACCTCTAATTGTAAAGCTTTTTTGTATTATAATATTAATAGAAAATGTGTTCAAGAGTGGCGCAAGCAGAAAGAAGAGTTTGAAAAGATTAAAAATAGTAAAGGTTTAAACATAGAACAAGTGTGAGTTCTTGATAGTCGTAGTCAGAAAGTGATACAGCCTACATTGGAAAAGGAACTCTTGGAATATATTAAAAAGAGAAAAGAAGAAAAAGGTGTAGTGACAACATCAATGATCATAAAAAAAGCTAAAAGTTTGGGTAAAGTCATGAATATTACAGATACAAAGTTTTCACATAGTTGGGCAGAATGTTTCAAGCAACAACATAAATTAGTAAAACGTGTCTGGACTCAAATAGCACAGAAAATCCCTGAAGATCTGCCTTTAATCATTAAAGATTTTTTTAAAACCTCTTGTGAAAAAATGCACACCATTGAAAAAAAATTTATTATATCCTTTGATGAAACTCCCATGTGGTTTGACATGCTACAGAATTCAACAATTAATTTTAAAGATACTTGTGAAGTGCCAGTTAAGACTACTGGCAATGAAAGATTATGATTTACTGTAGTTTTAGATTATACAGCAGCCGGGAAAAACTCTCACCAGTAGTAATCTTTAAACTGAAAAAAAACCCAAAAGGCAGATTCTCACGTGACATTGTATTAGCAGCTGTGCCATCTGGTACTATTACTGAAGATTTAATGATTTTTACATACATTTTACAAGCCGTTAGAGCCAGGCCAAATGGATTCTTTAAAAGCAAAAGTATTATCTTTGTTGATACATATTGTAGTTATAATTGTGGTGATGTAATTAAAGCTTTGAATGCAAAAGGGTTAGATGTATTAGAGATACCCGGTAGAACTACAAGCATTTTGTAGCTGCCAGATATATTTGTAAATAAGCCTTTTAAAAGTGGGATGAGAAAAAGATAGATGAATAGATAGAAAAAGGAAAGAAAATATTTACTAAGAAAGAAAACCAAAAAAAGCATTATATGAGCTTGTATGTGACTGGGTATCTGAAACGTGGAAGGAAATTAGTCCAAACATTTTAGCCAAATCTTTCGAAGCATCTGGATACTTGATTCTGATAGTAGTGAAGATGATAAAATGTCGCAATGCCTCCAAACTATTGTCAAAAACCATCTGAACGAATTGTTAATTGAAAACACATATCTTGGAGAAAAGCTAAATTATGATAATAGTGAGCCGGATAATGAGTTAGGTAATGATGGGCCAGATTATTATGAGTTGGATAATACTAAGCCAGATAATAGTAAGCTGAATGATAAAGTGAATGATGAGCTGGGAGATATTGAACCAGATTATTATGATGAAAATTTTGTAGACCTAGATAGTTATGAAGAAATACAGAATAAAGTAATAGAAATTGATTAATGATATCAATTGATTGAACAAATAAATGAATTTCTAATGTGAATTTTGCACATTTATTTCTTTGCGTAAATACTTTGTCTTAAAAATGTTGTAAATGCTTTATAGTTTTTTCCTTTGATAACTCTTTGTAGAGGTAAGACAATTAATTATTTTTTTTCTTAACTGAATTTTTAATTAATAAGACAACTACTTTAATTATAGTAAACGATCCAATTCAGTATTTCTGCAGTAGCTATTATCTTAAATGTAGCTAGCATATTTAATATATTACAAATATACAAAAATACGTAGGGTATAGTAGTAAGATAGTTATTTTGTTATATCGATTAAATTTTAAAATGTGAAATAAATCAAAATTTTTTTTATTATGAATTTTTTAATAATTTAATTAACATTACGTAATTATTTTTGACTTAGTTGGTTAGTATAAAACCAATTGTCCTTTAAAAAAAAAAAATTATTATCTTGTTGCAGTATTTATATCATAAAAAGTTTAGTAATGTCTTGTAGTCACTATTACATAATGCAAAATTTGATATGTAGACAAATATAGTATATTATGAATAAATATATTACGACAGAGTGAAACCCGCGACGCCAGCTGGTAAAACCCGCGTTGATTGGCTACATCATGTAAAACTTGAGATAGTAATGTAAAATCCGCGTTGATTATCTATAATATGTAAAACCCACTTTTTTAGATATGTTTAAATAAATCTGCTTTTCAGTAGGTAAAACTTGCTTTTTTTTTTTGGCTTAATATGTAAAAACCGCTTTTTATTCAAAAAATTCACCTTTTCTTTATAAAATCCGCGTTTTACTAGGTGAAATTCGTAACATATTTGATTAACAGTTAGATAATCTTCTTGAGTATACTCTCTTCATTCTCTCTAATACTCTCTAAATGCACTCCTAAATTCTGATCCAAATATATATTAGACTTTATAAATGCACTTTTTTTTGTTTTTAAATACATATTGTTAGAAGTCTGGTCTCTATGGAGTGCATTTAGAGAGATAGATCTCTATACAAGTATACTAATTGTACTATATCGAAACTTATTAAGGAAAGTACTTTATAATACCTTATTAGGCTTTTACTATTGTGAGCAAAACAAGCTTGGTGCTTACTATGTGATCTTTTTTCAATTCATTGCAGGAAATTTTGTTCACTTGTAATCCTGATAAAACGATTCAAGCTGGACAAGTGGAAACAAGAAAGTCGACGATTGTATGAAAAGGTTTCAATTTAAAGAACTAATTGCATTATTGAATGGATCTCATATAATAGACTAGATGATATTAAAAAAACTGATGAAGGAGGATTTGATTTTGTATATTCCGCAACATGTATTTGAAAGCGATTCTAAGTGGGCAAATAAAAACAAGAAGTCAACTTAAAACTGATATATTGAACTAAAATCGGTAGAGAATTCTATATATTTCACAACCTGGTTGGATGGTATTTAAAAGAAACATGGTAATCTTAGGTTTCAATATAGAACTAATAGATTAGACGAGATCAAAAAAATTGAAGAATTTGGTTTTGTAAATTCAGCAACATGGTTGGATGACATTTAAAGAAGCATGGTATCTCTCATGTAATTTTGATATAACGATTAAAGGTGGACAAGTGGAAACAAGAAGTCGAATAGTTGCATGAAAGATTAAACTTAGAGCTAATTTGTATGATCCCATTATTGAATGAATCTGATCTGATAGATCAAAAGAATCAGTATAGGATTTGGATCTGTATTTTCGATGGCCTAGTTGGATGGTATTTGAAAAATAATGGTGTCTCACATGTCAAGTGGAAACAAGGAGGTCGACGATTGTGTGGAAAGATTAAGTATTCTCTTCCAATTCCTCTATTTCTTATTCTTTTTTTCAATATTTACTAATTGAACAATTATTCTATATTATTTTGGCTGGGTTCTGATTTCTGGTCATGTTTCGCATAATTATGACTTCTGAGCACAAGCTCAATCATATTTAATTTTTATATAAGGTTTTTTACTAATTCTAAATTTTTCTCTTTATTTTTACAAACACATGGTATTGGCTTCGAAAAATCAGATGCAATATTTATATTTTGAACTCTGAAATTTTAAACTTTACTCAAGTTAACTTT